TGATAGGTCATCGGAAGATTCTAGGTGCTGGTGGGATCATATTTTCTATTTGGGGTATTAAAGGAGACTTATGGTATATAAGAGTTGAAAGGATGATATTAAGATTTGTGAAGTGATGAAATTACTGATATGACACAATGTGGGTATTTGTTACTCCCTATTTCTGGTCTTCTGATTAGCAGGGATCATGCCCTCTTCATCTTTGTATCATTGTGTGAACTTTTGCATCATCTGGGGCTATTTTTGCCCCTCAGGGAACATTTGAATTTTTTTAAGACAGTTTGGGTTCCAATGGCTGGCTGGCTGATGCTAATGGCATCTTGTAGGTAGAAGCCAGACATGCTGCTAAACATCCTACAATGAACAGGACAGCCCCCTCAGTAAGGAATTTCTCTTTTCACAATGTCAGCTGCCCAGGTACAGAAACCCTGGTCTAGTATGTAGTATGTGCTCCAGAAATGCATCCCGAACTTGAGTGAAATTTTATGATTATATTTAAAATAAGAGAATTAGGATCTAATGAATACGTCCTATGAACCAGGGTCATGGGCTTTATGATTTCCCGATGTCCGCTTAGAGATCATTTTCTTATTTCATGATTGCTGGTTACTTTTATTAATTAATTTTGTAGCTATATTTCACATAAGATGCCATTTTATTATATTCAAATAATCTCTCTGAAGGAATTAAAATACTTTGTGCTATGCTATCTATCCCACTTGGTTCACTAATATTTATATTACTTATAAATTTGAATTATTATATAAATCCACACATTTACTTTTTCTTATTATTTATTTTTATCTATTTCTTTTTTTCTTCCCCCTCTTATATTTTGGTGAAGTTATTAAACAGTGCCTGAAATATTAGTCAGGAGGCAAAGGTTTCTAGTACCAGCTCTATCTCTAAATAGCCGTAGAATCCTGAGCAAATAATGCAACTTCCAGGCACAAACTTTCATCTTCTCTAAAATGTCTTCAGAACATTACATGGATAATATCTAGGGTTTCTTCCAGTTCTTATTACTCAAACATTTGTTGGCCCTTTAATTTTACTCTTTATCCTGCTTTTCATCTGCTCACTTTCTTCAAGGCACTATTTATGTGGCTTTAGCTATTACCCACCTTTATGCTTCACTCAAATTTCATGCTTGCATATCTCAGATCTGTTACCTGAAATGGAAAAGAGCTTTGGCTGAACAAATTCTGTTAGTGACATATAGTCCTAGAACATTTTGCATGGATTATGTCTTGTTCCTCATTTAGGGCTGTCTTATAATAAAATTTCAATGGGTGCAATTCTCCTTTGACTCTTTGAAAATGGCGACTCTTGAAGTGCTCATTGTGAAAGCCTGGGCTGCCCCACATGGCACTTTGCTCCTTACTTGTCATTGTGTTCTAATGCGTACCTGGCTCCTAGAACCTGGTTTTATCTTAAATCTCTGGCTTTTCCATTTTTCCTTGGACAAACCTCTTACTGTAGTGTATTGTCAGTGCTTTCCTTCATCATAGCTTTGCCTACTTTTCTGGCCCAATCCGGTCTCTAAGTATACTGATGTGATTAAAGATTGGTGAGAGTCGCAAGGAAATGCTATCTTTATTGCACAATATGTAAAGCATTTTGCTGAGAAAATAAAAAGGATCTCTCAAATAAGCCAGGAATGCTTATATTTTTATTCATTTTCTTAGAAATCATACTTTTTGCCTGTGGCTTTGGCAACCCAAAGCTAACACACAAAGGCACACTGAGTACCCAGGGCCTTTCCTACTTGGACTTAGGACATTAGAGTCATTTCATCACTTATTTTCCTGGCTTCCTCCTGGCTCGGCATGAACATAGTCTTTGAATATCAGCTGTGTAGACATCGATTTGAGTTTTCTGAGTAACATAAAACATGTATGACAATCAGGAGTATTCCCCTCATTCACAGATGTAGCATGACATAAATGCAATGTATGTTATGAAGAAAAATCATTGCTTAGGCCTATACTCTGCTCATTTATTTTAGAAGGACAGCTATCTGTGCTTAAGTCCTGAATACATCTGTTACAGGCAATGAATAGAAGAGAATATTGTAAGAATGAATAGCATTCGACACAATCATCCAAATACTTTCATCAACATCAGCCAATAAAGAGGCAAAGCAATTTGGAGACTGCTTTTGTAAATAGGCACAAAGGAAGTACTTTGAAGCCTACCTCAGGCTCTGGTGTGGTACTTTGGCCAAGTCCCATCTCCTCTTTGAGCTTCCTTTGTTTTGTTTTACCTCTATTTTCTGTACTTCCATGAACTTTAACAATTTACTGAAAACAACAACAACAACAAAAAAAAAACAAAACAGGAACTCAAGCCTGGATGGTCCCATTTTAATAAATCTGTACCTGTATTATTTGTTCTCTGATGTAGTCAATATGCAAATGTTGCTATCCATCCTAAAACCCTTCAATAGACCCCCATCTACTGAATAAAATTCACGTTCCTTAGGAGCACAGAATGATTTCTCCTTCATTGTAGGAACCTTTTCTCTTTCTCTCTTCTCATCTCTGTCTACTCCCTTCCTTGCACTTCATGGTCCAGATTCGCTAGTTGATTTAGTCGTAGTTAATGGTTTCTCATAGCCAAGACTCCAGTCTTCCTCTACGTCTAGCCTAGAATTCTAGGCTAGCCTCTTCCTCAGATCAACCCTTTCTTCATCTGGCTTTAAGATTCTGCTCAGGGCTCATGGTCTCATGGAGACACTCTTTTCTTTTATCCATCACCTAAAATGAACTAGATATTCCCCTTCTGGCTATTGAATCTTATTACAGCTTTATTGAAATATTTATTACATTTCATAGCCAGTAGGCTTTCGTATCTGTTTTCCCATGAAGGCTTTCATCTTCTTGTGGACAAGAAGGGTGACTTTTATTTATTGTTGCATTCTGAGCAGCTAAAGAAATGCCTGCAAACATAAATATTTAATATGAAATGTATTTTCCTCTTTTCTTTAAACAACCTTTACATCCACCTATTTTTAGCATTCTGCATATGAGGCTGTCCCTTAAATCTATTCATCATCCAGAAATTCTCTTCTTTCCTTTTTTTTTTTTTGTTGTTTTTGAGACAGAGTCTCATTCTTTTTTTTTTTTATTTCAGCATATTATGGGGGTACAAATGTTTAGGTTACGTATATTGCCCTACCCCACCTGAGTCAGAGCTTCAAACATGTCCATCCCCCAGATGGTGAGCACTGCACCCATTAGGTGTGTATGTACCCATCCCCTCCTCCCCTCCCATCTGCCTGACACCCAATGAATGTTATTACTATATGTGCACTTAAGTGTTGATTAGTTAATACCAATTTGATGATGGGTACATGTGGTGCTTGTTTTTCCATTCTTGGGATACTTCACTTAGTAGAATGAGATCCAGAGTGGATTAACAAAATGTAGTATATGTATACCATGGAGTTCTACTCAGCCACAGACTCTCATTCTGTTGCCCTGGGTAGCCCTGTGTAGAATGCAGTGCTGTCATCATAGCTCACTGCAAAATCAAATTCCTGGGCTCAAGCGATCCTCCTGCCTCAGCCTCCCAAGTAGCTGAGATTACAGGTGTGCACCACCACACCTGGCTAATTTTTTCTAATTTAGTAGAGACAGGGTCTCGCTCTTGCTCAGGCTGGTCTCTAACTCCTGAGCTCAAGCCATCCTCCTACCTTGGCCTACCAGAGTGCTAGGACTACAGACGTGAGCCACTGTACCCTGTCCAGAAATTCCCTTCTTTCTTATGCTAACATTCCCACCTGATGTAAAGCTCTGATCTTGTGCTTCTTCAGATTGGCTTGGTCTGTAGGTCCCATCATCTGACCCAGTCTTTGCCTGTTTTGGTTATCTCTAGTCATTCAAGCCCTTTTGGTAACCTAGTGTATTACTCAACTACTTTTCAGCTCAACTAATACCTCATGGTTTGTCATTTTAACACAAACACAATCAACCCTAACCCTATCCAGACAATTCCTTTGACCTATTGATATTACCACTGTGACCATCTTGCCACACATCTACTTGGTTCAAGAAAACCATCTGATATCTAACCTAACATACGTTGGAATTATGGCTTGTGAATTTTTTATTAATTTTTATTTCACATTAATCAAAAATTTCTGCTCCTTTTAAATTATATATATGTTAAGGTGTGCAACAGATTTTTTAATTTAATTTCAAAATATTAAGGGATCATAAATGCTTTTGTCACATGGATCCCTTGTATCATGCTTACGTTGGGGCTTTCAGTGTGCCCATCACCAGAATAGTGTTCATTGTAGCCGATAGGTAAGTTTTTGACCCTTCACCCTCTCCCACTCTCCCTGCTTCTTGATTTCCAATGACCTTACATGTCTTTGTGTCGCTGTGTGCCCATCGTTTAGCTCTCAGTTATTAGAGAGTGCACGTGGTGCTTGTTTTTCCATTCCTGAGATGCCTCCCTTCCCCTGTGTATAAAATTAGTTTAAACTGAATGGTTTATTTTTGCCAAATCAAGAAGCCCTGGGAGTTTGTCTCACACGACTAAGCTATCATCATGGACTTGTCACCTTGTCATTTTCTCCATTTCACCATAAAGTGCTGCAAACGCTCAGGTTTGCATGAAATTGTGGCCTTTTTGTGAATCTGTGTGTGCCCTGGTGCTCACACAGAATGCCTCCACAGCTGGGATCTTAAGGCCCACTAGGCCCTAATGAGATCTAATTGTGTCCACCGTAACTTGGGCACTGGGCCAGGGAGTCACCGTCCTCCAGTAATTGTCTGGTTCTTGGACAATTGCATTTCCTGGACAGGATTCCTTTATCAACTGGTGAATTGCTCCCTTGTTACAATGTTCCCCAGAATTTCTGGGGACAGATAATGGGCAGAAATCATTTTCTAATTATGTGGACTTCTCAGAATTGAAACTCTCTATTGATTTTATTTCAAACCACAAAATTAGCATGTCAGTAAGCACAGTATATAAACAGCCGCAAAAGCAGAAAGACCATCATCCACTCAGCAACTCCTTCGCTTCTTGTCCTCCATCTTGAAGAAAAGGTAAGAATTTCAGATGTGAATTCATAGTATCTTCTCCTAAGCCTTTATTTCAAAGTAGTTGGAGCTATAGAAAGAATATAATTACTCAAAATACCATCTTTGAAATATAGGTATTTAAGTTAGACTGAAAATATTTTCAACAGTTAGGTTAAAAAAATAGAAGTGCCTAGAAGGAATTTTCTTTTTGGTAAAAATTATAAAGACTTTGTGAGTCTAAGAAAATGTAATAACTAATTATTATATATATATATATTTAGTACAAGTCTAGTTAATATTAAGAGGAGATTCATTTTTTGAATTAAATAAGTCTTCCAATTTGATTTACTGTAACGTAACGTAGCCATGAAAACAAATATATTTAAATTATACTATGGAAGATAAATAGCTATTGGGAAAGTTTTATCAAACAGGTAGTTTATAGAGATACCATACTGAGTTAAGAAAGAAGTGGTTTAAGGACATGCAGTACTTTAAAAGTTTATAAATAATGTTTTTAGAAGAAGAGTGTACTCATCAAACTTGTCTAGAACCTCCAACTTTCCCAATTATCAGCTAGTTGGTAATATTTCAAAACGATATTATAATGGAGACATGGAAATATAGAATTAAGTTAAAAAGAAAGTGTTCCACTTTGTAAAAAATTCTAAATGAAGCACAGATGACTTAGAAACAAAAAACAAAAACAGATGATTTGAAAGGAAAAGTAGTGAGAGCATATCAGTCAATAATGACATCCTGGCTTAAAACTTGGTATATAAAATGCTAATTATAAAATATAGAAAATGCCATGGGATCCTCCCTACATGTAATGATCTATAACAGAGTGCCACATCTTTTTTTTTTTTGAACCCTGACAATAAAAATTTACATGGAAACTCATGGAAGTCTTAGCTTAAGTAAAATTCATAAAGAATTATATAACATCCATGAGAAAAATCTGGAAAAAATATTTATTTTCCCTAATAGTGAAAATTATTTTCAGCTTTCAGATATTAGACATTTTTCAGATAAGAGAGACTTTTTTATGAAATGTTTTTTGAACTAAATGTTTTCTGAACTGAAACTTAGTTTAAAATTTTGAGAATGTAGATTAAGCATCAAGTGATAGGATGGGCAAACATTTTTAAAATAAATTATAGAAAATGCAATGAAATCTAACAAGAAGGCAATAAATGATACATTTTGGTCAAAAGTATTAACACATATTTTACAAGAGGTAGCCCAGGAATGGGGATTGGGCAAGAGAACCAGACCCTTGGTAAATCATCAAGAGATCGGTACACATATTTTAAAAGTGAGAAAAGAACAAGTATAGTGTGTGATCTTTAAAGTCATACAGCCTTAAGAGGAGACATTATTAGCTGTGTGGGGATGAAGACTGCATGGCGGGTGTAAATGGATAAGAAACAAACCTATCAGTCCAAGAATGCATCTGGAGGGCGGAACAAAATAAAGAAAATGTTAAAACGAAAATCTCAGTCTTACTGGAAATGAGGAGATAAAATTAAGCTAGATAATCATGGTAATTGTTTACTTTAATAAAAGAAAGATAAAGGTAAAATTTGATTTTCTTTGTATGTATTTTCTTGATAAGGCTTCCCCGGTAGAACATCATGACATCATCATGGCTGAGACTTCAATATTTTGTTCATTGCTGTAGACCCAGTACCTAGACAGTGGCTGGCAATAAAAAGTCATAAAGAAATACTTTTTAAAGAAGGAACAAATTCATAAATCAAAATTGTAAATGTTTATAACTTTCAAAAAATTACATAGTATTAAGAATAATATATATATATAAAAAAACAGATTGGGAAAATGCTAATAGCTGAAAAAATCTGAATGGCTGGCAATGAAGTTTGGAATTGTGAGCCAGAGTAGATTTTGACCCAGGTCATATGATAAAACTTCTATTGGTATTTTTTTTTCTAAAATGAAGACATTTTTATTATACATTATCTTTTTATAAAGGAAAAGTAACCCTACACAAATAAGAAAATACATCTGACTGATCAATCTACCATCATTCCCTTGTTTCCCCATTTATAGGACTTGATAACCATGAAGGTCCTCATCCTTGCCTGCTTGGTGGCTCTTGCTCTTGCAAAGGAGGTATGTGCAGAAAAAAATTCCTGAATAATTAGCATATAGCAGACTATCTGGCTACTTATAGAGAATAACATCACTGACATTTTTTTTTTACTGTACAAATAATTAAGAATTTCTGTAAAACTTTTTCAGCTGCTATGAAAATCATTTATGTTCATGCACCATTTCAACAGCTTTATATAGGGCTCCAAAGCTGGGCCAAATGCTTTCTACACCAATGTGCCTCCATTTCTAAAGGAAAGCCAAACAAATCAATAAGTACAAACAAAACAAAAAGAAAGAAAAATAAAAACAGCAAAAAAGTATAATATTGCACAAATACAATTGCACACATGTGCAACCTAGATAAGTATATCTTATTCCAGTGATAAAACATATGTATCTCTTACCCTAGAGCACTGGGCCAAATCTTATATGTGTCTATCCAAAGACATCCAAAGGATGGAGTATAAGCAATAATCACAACCATAATCATAAATATATTGATAATGAAAAGTATTTAATACAAATTAAAGTAACTCCTTTTCTGTTACCCATCAAAAACTCTGTTCTTAATTCAGGTAAAATAAAAATATACCATTAAAAACCTATTAAACATAAAAGACATTACAGCAATTGCTCTTCAAGTCTTTAGAAAGGCATGCAACGTTTTTTTTTTTATTTCTTAAATTTATAAAAGAGATAGTTCTGCATAAAAGATGTAAAAATTAAGTAGGAAACATATTTAATAATTAATTAGCTACACAAACTAAAATGGTGATTTTTATCTTTACAGAAGCAAGAACTCAGTGTATCCTGTGAGGTAAGATTTTTATTTGGAGAAAACTTACCACCTATACAATGATAATATTCTCTGCTGTTGTAGAAGTCTTAGCTGATTGTTGATTTTTTTTACCCCCACAGACTGTAGAAAGCCTTTCAAGCAGTGAGGTAAGACAACATTCTTTCAGAAGCAATTTTCTAATTTTAGAGCAGTAAATGTGGTGCTAGCTTTCTATTGTTAGATCACAGCAGTTAAGCTAATATAGCTTTGTTGTGACACATAAGTTCTGGTGTAACCTTGCTTTTTATAAGGGTAAGGTCAGAATAAATATCTGGAGAATTCAGTATTCAGTATTCTAGAACTTTCTAAGTTGGCTCGCTACTTGAAATTATGTCATTTTGCTTCATTTTTTTCTTTTTAATGAACCCTACAGTCAGTACTGTGTCTGGAACCCTGTCTACTCTGACTTCATTCACTTTGAACATTTATAGAGCACCTTCTGTAGATCAGACGTTGACTAGGAACTGTGGTACAACCTGAAAAGACAGGGATGCCAATGATAGCTAAGAGCTTGCAAAGTAGTGGATAGGCAGAGATGCAGTAAGATATATTTTGCATAATTACAATAGTCACGTTAGTAAATAAGAAGCAGTCATACTTAGTGTGGTCTCATATCTATCTGGGAGAGTCAGATAGATATTTACTCTTGCACCACTCGTTTTGGGCATGTCCTCACCTATTAAGTAAATGGCACATCAATATACTTCGTCTCTTTGCAAGATAATGTATTAATTGTTATTAGGATATGTTTTTGATGTGTGTTTGTTTTTTAGAATCAGATGAGGTTTTAGATAGAGATCATGTGTTGTCAGAGGAGAAAGCATGACTGTAGAGAGAAATTAGCATCTATTAGACGCCTCTTTTTATACTATGTTCACTTTCCTTTACATAGCTTATACAGAACAGTTTAATATATATATATATTTTAGCAATTATCCTGATATTATTAAAGGTGTCCACATAATCTATTAAATGCCTTTAGTTTCTGATTTACACTGAAACATAAGAATCATTCGCTAAAAGTCCAATTTTATTTTCTATTTTCTGAAGGAATCTGTTACACATGACAAGGTAAAACTTTCATACATAAAATATATGTATTTCTGAAATTCCCTATGCTTGATTTTTCCAGATGGTAACTTTCTTTTATATATGATTTGTTTTTAGCAGAAAATCGAGAAGGTTAAACATCTGGAACAGAAGCAAAGAGAGGTAATTTGTTCATGATGAGTACATTTCTAAAATTGTGAAGTACAATATACAAAAAAAATTTTGTAATATATATGTTCAGTCTAAAGAATGGTGATGAAATAAATGTCATGTGCCTGCCAACCAGTATAAGAAATGAAACATTAACAAAGTCATTATATTTTCTAAGACATAAATGCATTTTTAAGCACATAATTTCTAGAATATAGAGCAAATAACTAATAATATTACCAGTGGTATATGTTTTCAGTAAATGTATATTGGCAGATTCAATGGCAGCTAAAAAAATGTATATTAGCAGATACATTTCTAGGTTAGGAACTATGTTCCTTTTATTCTCAAGGTGAATATAATACTGAAAGGAGAAAGGACAGCTGGTAGAAGATCAATGGAGAATTTGTGTCATATTATCTTTATACAAAATTTTATATTTAATTAAATTACAGTTATAGCAACATATTTACATAATTATAATATTTCAGCTTCCCTGTTTATGAATGACTTATTTGGTGCTCACACAAAATATTTTCTGAATCAAATTGAAATTCAAAAATTGATATCTCTTGAAAGACTTGAGAAAACTACCTTCTCCCAAGGGAAGTCACGCTAGAAGTTGGCCAGTGTTAAGTGACTCTCTGAAGACACAAATTAAGACCAATTTTTTATTAAAACAAAACAAAAATAAACCTTGGAGTTGTGCCACTAAGGCTTTTAAACTCAATATCCCTTCATTACATGAAAAAAATTTGGTATATTATCAACACACTTAAGTTGAAAACCAATGCTCTCTGAAGACCAAAAAGTGTACAGCTACAGCTATGCAGACAACTTAGGAAAAGATAAAAAAAAATATTGAAATCCCCAAATATTGATTCACTTTGGCCTGTGTTATTCATCCATGAAGTAAGTGAGTGGGTTAAGGAGAAATACCTCCAAGAGCATCATATTCATTTTTTCTTCATGACACAAGATAATTTCTTAATCACAAGTGAAAGATTTTGTACTCGTTATGGCTGTCCAAAAGAGAGAAGATGAATTCATCATGAATGGCAATTGTAGGTGAATCGCGGACTGAGAGATTCTTTTTTCTCCTTTCCAGAATGAACGCCAGGAAAAACTTAACCCCTTTATCCAGCAGCAACAGCCTCTAGTCTACCCATTTGCTGAGCCCATCCCTTACACTATCCTTCCACAAAACATCCTGCCTCCTCTTGCTCAGCCTGCTGTGGTGCCCACTTTCCTTCAGCCTGAAGTAATGCAAGTCTCCAAATCTAAACAGACCGCCTTTCCCAAGCACAAAGTGATGCCCTTCCTTAAGTCTCCAGTGATGCCCTCTTTCGACCCTCAAAACCCAAATCTCAAAAATCAGGCCCTTGCTCTGTCTCTGCTCCAGCCCTTGATGCCCCAGGTTCCTCAGCCTATTCCTCAGACTTCCGTGCTTCCCCCTCAGTCCCTGTGGGCTCCTCTTCAGCCCAAAGCCCTGCCTATTCCCCAGCAAGTGGTGCCCTACCCCCAGAGAGCTATGCCCCTCCAAGCCCTCCTGCTCTACCAAAACCCCACCGCCCGCCAGTTCTACCCTGCGACTCAACAGCCACTTGCTCCAGCCCACAACCCCGTTATTGTAAGTGCAAATTTATGTACTTTGCTGTTTCGCTCATAATGTGTATGATTTCGCTCATAATGAGTTGGTAGAATGAGTAAGTGAGATCTCTAACATAATAGATTTATAATGAATGGATCCAAAAGGCACATAGTTTATATCAGTGATTCTCAATGCTACTTATACAATAGAATCACCTGGAAAACTTTTTTCCCCCCCAAATCCCAATGTGTAGGCCTACCCACAGAGACTCTTATATAATTGTTCTGATTGTCTATGTAGAAGATATTGAGTGTTAGGAAGAAATGATTGCAGAAATTCTGATTTAATTGGGCTGTTGAGAATTTCGATTTAGATAAAGAGAATTAAAGTTCACTAAAACCAGAATTAAACTTGATAATCTGATTGGAATAAAAAATAGCTATTATTTTCCGTGGTTTCAAAGTTTTCCCTGTGCATAGGCCTTTGTTCACATCTTGTTTTTGCTATATGTACCTATGAGGGCAAAAGATTGAGATGATTATTTCATTACTTACAACATTTTTAAGGCAAGTGTTCTTCCCCAAAGATGAATTCTATATTTATTTGTATTTGTTTCTTTCCAAGGTCTGAGAGGATTTCAAGATTGATGCCCTTGCCTCATTTTTGGTAAGTTGTGGGAGTTTGGAAATTAGACTGATGATTTTTATATTTGATGTCTTTTAGCATTTTATTTTGCTACAGAAGCCCAAGATAGTGGCAAATTCCATTAATTCACAAATTTACATATTAATTAGCAATTTATTCTCAATAGTTGACTATTATTTACTGACCTGAAATTATGCATCTTTTGCATTCAAATAACTTTAATTTCATTAAATTATGTACTATTGACAGATTTGACTGGCTTGCTTTCCAGGTCCTATATACTTACATTTGATTATCATTATTTTCAGGAAAAACAGAAAATAGGTTTCCTTTTACTTTCATGTAAATATATTTGAGTTTTTGTTAAAGACCAATTTATATTCTTATTTCTAATTTAGGCTTCATAAGTTTTGTACTTAATTCACTTAAAATTGTTTAATTCATGAGCCAAAATAAAATTACTCAGTCTAGTGAGAGGATTAAAAAGGGGAGAGAGGATACCTTGGGATTCTTAGATACAAAACCTTTTGTGATCATGATAGACTAGACATCGCACTAAATTCCAACAGAGCAGATATTTGGTTCTATAGAAACTTTATATGTCTCCAAGGGAAGGCACAACACGGTATATTTGCAAAGCAATTTCTTTTATGAATTAATCACACCAAAATTATGTATGGAGAGAGGGAATAATTATAATATACAACATAACCAATTCTATATTTGCTCTCTATTCCACAGAATTGACTGAGACTGGAAACGTGGCCTCTTTTCTATCTTTGCATCATGTCACCAAATTTGTTTGGCTCTACATTCCTTTATGACACTCATTTAATTTAAATTTTACTCATAAACTGTTTACACTTTTCAAATTTTAATTTAGTATCACAGAAGTTCAATATTGAGTTGAAAATACTAAAAACATATCAAAAACATGTATAAAATAGCTTCTGGAATTGTGCTTATTATTATTATTTCTTTAAGAATTTATTCCCTTTCCAGTCACTTCAATAAATAATCCTTAAGCATATTTAAGTTGTCTTGTCTTTTTTTTTTTTTTTTTTTATTTCGGCATATTATGGGGGTACAGATTTTAAGGTTTCAATAAATGCCCATTTCCCCCCTCCCCCCACAAGTCTGAGTCTCCAGCATGACCATCCCCCAGATGGTGCACATCTCACTCATTATATATGTATATACCCGCCCTCCCCCGCCCTGCCCAATATCTTATTACTGCAGTACCTATGTGACCACTTAGGTGCTGTTCAGTTAATACCAATTTGCTGGTGAGTATATGTGGTGCTTGTTTTTCCATTCTTGGGAAACTTCACTTAATAGTATGGGTTCCAGCTCTAACCAGGAAATTATAAGATGTGCTATGTCACCATTGTTTCTTAGAGCTGAATAGTACTCCATGGTATACATATACCACATTTTATTAATCCATTCTTGGATTGATGGGCACTTGGCGCTGTTTCCACAGCCTGCAATTAGGAATGTGTCTGCTATAAACATTCGAGTGCAGGTGTCTTTTTTGTAGATTGTCATTGGATCTTTTGGGTAGATGCCACGCAATGGGATTGCTGGATCAAATGGTAGATTCACTTGTATCCTTTAAGGTATCTCCATATTGCTTTCCACAGAGTTGAACTAATTTGCAGTCCCACCAGAGTGTAGGAGTATAGAATTTTTAATTTCCATCTTGATTCCTTCATTTATGAAGTAATCATTTAGTAGGAGTTTGTTAATTTCCACATTTTTGTGTAGAAATGTGAGTTTCTGTTAGAGTTGATTTCTACTTTTATTCCACTGTGATCTGAGAAGGTACATGGTATGATTTCTATTTTTTTAAATTTCTTGAGATTTACTTTGTGTCCTAGGATATGGTCAATCTTAGAGAATGTCCGTGAGCTGATGAGAAGAACGTATATTCAGTGAATTTAGGGTAGAATGTCCTGTAGATGTCAGTCAGATCCGGTTGTTCCAAGGTTTTGTTTAAGTCCATTATTTCTTTATTAATTTTCTGTTTGGAAGATCTGTCTTGTGCCGTCAGTGGGGTGTTGAAATCTCCGGTGATTATGGAGTTGCTATTAATCCATTTGCTTAGATCCAGTAAGGTTTGCTTTATGAAACTGGGTGCACCTAAGTTGGGTGCATATATATTTAAATTGTTATCTCTTTTTGTTGAAGTGTGCGCTTCACCATTATATAATGACCCTCTTTGTCTTTCACTACTTTTGTTGGTTTAAAAACTAATCGTCTGAAATTAAAACTGCCCCAGCCTTCTTTTGGCTTCCACTTGCCTGGAATACTGATCTCCACCCTTTTATTTTTAGTCTATATGCATCCTTGCAGGTTAGATGTGTTTCCTGAAGACAGCATATACTTGGCCTGTATTTTCTTATCCATTCAGCCAGCCTATGTCTCTTGAGTGGAGAGTTTAAGCCATTCATATTTATTGGAGAACTGATAGGTAAGGTAGATTACTGTTCATTCTGTTGGGTTGGATGTTTTTGCTTTGATTTCTCTCTTGAGCCATTGTATTTCTGGCCTTTATCTTTGGGTTTTGGTTGTTTTTATATTCGTGAGTTTGTATTATGGTGTTCCGTGCATAACACTGTTTTAAGTACTTCTTGTAGGGCTGGTCTTGTCTTGGTGAATTCTCTGAGACTTTGCTTGTCTGAGAATGTCTTTATTTCTCCTTCATATACGAAGCTTAGTTTTGCAGGGAATAAGATTCTAGGCTGGGCATTGTTTTGTTTCAGAAGAGTGAGAATGGGGCCCAGTCTCTCCTTGCTTGTAAAGTCTCATTAGAGAAGTCTGGTGTTATGCAAATTGGCTTTCCCTTGTATGTGACGTGGTTTTATTTAGTTGGAGGATCTTATCTTCAATCTCTGAGATTCTTTCTTCTGTTTTAATCATACACTGTTTTTTGAGACTTTCCACTGTATTTTGTAGTTCCCTGAATTGATTCTTCATTTCCAGGAGTTCGGTTAAACTTTTCTTCATTGTGTCTATTTCTTTAGTGAACTTTTGTTCTAGGTCCTCGAGGCTTTTTGTGGTTTCTTTGTGTTGGTTATTGAGTTGTTGTTGTAGGTCGGTGAGTGTTCTTATGATCCACATACAAAATTCCTCTTCTGTCATTTTGGTTGCCTGATTGGGTTGGTGTCTGTTTCTAGGGGGCTGGTGCTCCTCTTTGGGGGTGTGGTTTCCGTTTGGTTCTTCATATTTCCAGAGTTCCTTCGCTGATTTCTTCCCATGTCGATCAGTTGTTGTTCCTTTCCTTTAGGTTTTTGTTTGGGTATTCACATGCCTTGTTTAGTTTCTGAGCCGTTAGGTGGTGTCTGTGGGTGAGATTCGACCACTCCCTGTATAATGAGTCAGTGGGTGCCGTGAAAAGGCTGTGCAGGATGCCGTCCCTGTCAGTAGGTGGTGCTTGCTTGGAGGAACAGGCTATGCTGTTGTTTTTGTGTCCTGTTATCAGCTCTTGTTCTGGGTGGAGCTGGCTTGGGTAAGCCTGCCCTCAGGCAGTTAGCAGGGGTCAAAGTTCTGTTCTCTGCTTCCAGGAAAAGCTGTCAGGGTGGGGCTGGAATGGTCCCACTCAGCCAGAAAGTCTGCATGTGGGAGTGGGGCTGTCTGAGACCTGCAGTCTGGAGCAGGCCTTGCTTCTTTCCACCCTCCCCAACTCCGCAGCTACTCCTGGGCCCCTGCCAGCAGGCCAGACCACAAGCCACCAGGCCTCCCTGGACTGTGATGACGGCGGGGAGGTTTTCTGCGCAGAAACGCCACCTGGGCTGGGCGCACGGCCTCCCTTTGGGGGGATGGTTGCCCTCTAGGATGCTGATCTGCCCCTGGAGGCACACATACCTCAGCAGGCTGTTCACAAATATCTCTTCTGTGCCCCGGGCAATGCTAGACCTCGGTGCATGGGATCTGGTCTGCAGGTCCAACCTCTGAGTCCCAGAGTTCAAACTGTATCCCCACCAGGGAGAGGAGTTCCGGTCCCAATTCACCCACAGGGAGCCTAAGCTGTGTCTGTGTCTCTCAGCCTCTGAGTCGGCACCGTTCTCCTGGGAACACCGTGCCAGCAGCACCTGGGAGGGCTGGCAGGTAGGGAGCTCACAGTCTGAGTTCCCCTTAGTCAGCTGTAGGGTCCCAAAAGGGAAGGTCCTGTTCCCTGGAGGTGCCTCTGGCTGGTGGCTGTATTGTCTCTCTGGGCACCCGCGGGTAGGGTCGGGGGAGGGGCGAAGGAGGCAATATGGCGCCTGCCACGGGGCTCGGGTCTGTGCACCCGGAGGTGCCCAAGGGATTTGGGAGTCTCGTGCCGCGTCCACTACAGGCTCACAGCTAGCTGGTGGCCGCCGTCTCTGGGCTGGTGTCCGCAGGTCTCTCCACCCGCTGGGGAGCCCACCAGCAGTCCCAAATGCAGGGGA